TACTTTATTTATCGTTCATGTAAACACCGTGTTCGAATTCATCAATCGGATTGATTTCATTCCGATTGAACCATGTAAACGCAGCTAGTGTTGCAGATGTGAAATCCTCTCTTCTTGCTGGGGCATTATTGAAGAGATAGTGGAGAGATCTCAGCACCTTTTCTACATGCCACACCTCAAATCCACCTTTAAATGAATTGTGTAGGGTGTGGATACCACAGCTTCCTACCACTTGGAGTTGAATCCCCCCAAACTGTTCTGCATGTTCCAGTTGTAGGAGATCCATGAATTTCCAATTTACTGCGGGTCCATCCATTGACACAGAAAGCATGTTCCTTAAATTAAGTTCCTTGGTGCCCTCCTGAAATTCTAAAAAAATTCAATCAAAACAAAGTTCACCTCAAGAATGATAACATTTTCATTCATTTTCACTCAGATTAGATGGTTTGTCTAAAGTAGTGATTCTCAAACTGTGGTCTGGGGACCACTGGTGGTATGCCAGATTACCAAAGAGGTCTGTGAGCAAAAGTCATCAACAAAAATGACTGACATGGACTGTGACACTGTTGATCATTTCCAATTCACTTCTCATGACTTGTTTTCTAATCATGCACATTATTAGCAGGTGAAGTTAGCCATGGTTTCAGACTAAAATGGCCTGCATTTTTACATGCATAGGGATGATCATTAATCCAAATATGTCAAGATTGTTTTTTTTAAATTGGCTAAGTGGTCCTTGGTTTGAAAAAAAGTTTGAGAAACACATCTTAAGCCATAATAGTGAATGCTCGCAAATTGGGCCTATGCGATATGGTTCAGTGTCAAAATTGTTAACCTAAAATTGAGAAGCACAAAACAGATATTTGGAGTCTAATTATGAACTGGCCTACATTATTTAATTCAATTCAATTTTACTTTTCACATAACAAATATGCAAGAAGCATAATGCATATTGAATGCTTTATACAATAAAGTTATTTACAGCACTGCCTTCCGTCCAGAATGCAGTAGGCATGCCTAGATGTCACCCACCCACAAATTTTTTTTAACTGATTGGCTGGGACAATATATCGATGCATCGTGAATCGAGAAATTATTCTGGATCATTCCAATTTTTCTGAATGCATCTCGCTCGAATCGATTCTGAGTTTAGTTTTCAACAGCAGATGGCACTGCGTGCTTTACATTTACATTTATTCATTTAGCTGACGCTTTTATCCAAAGCGACTTACAATTGCTATATATGTCAGAGGTCGCACGCCTCTGGAGCAAGTAGGGGTTAAGTGTCTTGCTTAGGGACACACTGGTGTCTCACAGTGGATTCAAACCCGGGTCTCTCACACCAAAGGCATGTGTCTTAACCATTGCGCCATCACCACCCCTTTTATGATTTAACCAACTATAAAATAATAATTCATAAAGTTCAAAAAGGTTGAAACGAAGTACAAGGGTGTTTGCAGTGAGCTGTTTACAATAATCTCGCGTCATAAAAGCATTATATCAAGTACATTCTCAGACTCAGCCGAACGCACAAACGCTCTTCTTCGTGAGCATTTGAGTGTGCGGTTAAAAACTAGCCTAGAGCGCCATCTGCAAAAACTAAGTTCAGAATCAATTCGCAATGCATTAGGAACAAATTTAAATCAATCCAAGAATCGCAATGAATCGATATATTGTCCCAAATATTAATTAGGAAATAACATGAAAACACACAAAGCATTTTAACATATTCAAAGCATTTTAAATGTTACTTTGATAGTCTTACCTTAAAATGCTCCAGCAAGTCTTCTGCCGTTGAGTGGCCCAAAAACTGAGAACCAAGATAGCGAGACCTGACAATCGGGGTGCCAGTCTCGTCGGTTGACCAATGTCTGACGTTTAAGTCCAACTGTTTAGTTTTCGTTGTTGTGTTCATGGACTCATTGAACATTATGATGAAAGCGTCCTTGTTTGCCCGTGAAATTAGTTCCTTCTTTAGGTATGGGGAAACACCAAATCGTGCTAAATATGCGGTTTTGTCCCTTACACACGTGAACGTACTCGCACACTCTGAGTCAGGGAACATTGCTTGAAAAACTAGGTGGATGTCCTCATTTGAGGTGTACGAGTGGTGGCGGCTTACGGTTTGAAATACCCAAAGTATTTCGGCTTTAAGTGTAGCTACATTCGCAAAGCTGCCGAAGGCATTGCTTGAAGTGGACGGCCTTGTGGAAGGCTGAGAGGTCGAAGTGCTCGATGAGAACATACATATGGGCAAACTACTTGCCTGCGACGACACATACTTCTTGTGCTTCTATGCTTTCATGTGTGAATCGAGCGCTATGTGGCCCATTGACCCCAGCTGTATCGTCTTTTTACATAAAGCACACCTCGCTTCATGATTACTGGCTGTTTTCTTCAGCCACCCCCGATACTTTTCGTCCTCCAACCAATTGTCATTAAACAAACATTTGCCCATGCTTGCGATTTCGCAAAATGCCGTGGTGGCGAACCATCAACGCAACGCATTCATCAATCACTTACTTGTATGTCACCAATGGAATGATGCAGGTTGCACCCACGAAGTGCAGCCCCCAAATGTTGCGCTGGTCAAATTGCGGTTGAAAATAAAAATAAAAATGACGAGTCAGACATGAAATTTAAGATCCCACATGAAATTTAAGACCTCCTTATGGAAAATTCCAGAATTCAAGACATTTTCAGACCTTAAAAATCAAGGCTTCAAGACTTTTTAAGGACCCGCGGGGACCCTGGCTTAAACATTCACAGACCATGTCGCGATTGGATTTATTGCACAGGTCTACTTTCCATGTATTCATCCATCCATTATTTTGCGTGTTTTACGTGACATCTACGTTATGTAAATTCCATTTTCATGACTGGATCCGGGATTCCCTCTGCATCACGTAAGTCATTCGGCCTTAAGTTATAATCGGGACATACCTTTATCTGCAGGAGGGATGGTGTCCTATGTATCCTCCTTTTGCAGCCACTTTGCGTCCACATTTTTTGCAAATTGGATATCTATCCACGAGGACAACCACGCTTTTTTTTCTACAAGTATTTTTTTCATACTGGCCATAATTCGCTTCATAAGAGTTCGAGGGTGCTTTCAGCTTCAGCTGGGTCACCTTTTTTGCGCGTTTGTTCTCCCGCCCTTCAACCAATGCAGTAGTTTCCGGAGTGTGATTTTTTTTTTTTCTCCCTTGTGTTATTATTTTTTAGTCAGTTACGGATATGATTTCAAATGTAGCGTAAATGAAGTAAAATACTTCAAACAAAACGTACTTAAGTAAAAGTAAAAGTACAGATTTTAAAAACTACTTAAAAAAGTAGAAGTACACAAAAAACGACTCAATTACGTAACGCGAGTAAATGTAATTCATTACTTTCCACCTCTGGGTTTAATGTATACTTTTGAAATACAGATGCACAGGCACTATTTCTTATATCCTTTACAGTGTAGGTGTGGTTCTAAAGGGAAGGAAATAAACATGGATATTAACTAACATAAACACAATTGAGGCTAATAAGTCTCACTAGCTACTTAAATAAACAATGCTAAACATGTCCTGAAACATGAACTACAATAAGAATGCCATACAATCTACACATACAACAGAGAAAAAGGCTGTCACTGACTACAAACTTTAACATGAATTGCTAATATTAACTTATCTATATGATATACTTGTAACTTACTTGTGTTCACTGACGCACACGAACACAACCTGAAGAAGCTTAACTTATAAAGTGAAACTAAACTGACTGCCGTTCTCTGCAAGCCAGGGCATGTCGCAACATGTCAGAAAGGGGGCGTGGTCTGAGCGAACACTCGCTGTACATGCTCTTTCCAGGTTCACCCCAGATAGCAATGAGTCGGCGGACCACCGTCGGTTCTCCGGCGGCAGTAGAAGCGTCAGAATGGCGACATCGCAAACACGTTGGAGGGCGCACCGCCGGCGGCAGCCGCTTTTTAAAAGCGGCAGCCGCCTTCCTACCGCCTTCGTTAAGCGGCCGGCCCGCGGGCCAACCGCCGTTCCGCCGCGCTTTATATTGAAGGCCGTCCTTCCGCGGCCCGCCGGAGGCAAACGCTATTTTCGAGCGCTCTGCCGCCGCTTATTCTGGCTATATATATATATATTTTTTTTTTATAGCATGCAGTTTATCAAGAATAATGATTGCTCAAACCAGACAAATTTACAATTGGCATTTTTATTCCACATTTCAAAGTACAGTAACTGTCATTTAAACAAGATGTCAGATCACTGAAACATAACAGAAAAATAAATAAATCAATATACTAACATGCAGGTTTCCAATTCAATATTGGTTAAACAGCCTTACAAGCAAATTACAACACTTACAATAAGTGTTCATATAAAAAGGACAGCTCTCGGGTAACAAATTACCAGTAAACATTATGACAAGTAAAGAGGATATTTGATACCAAATAATGTGCAAGATACCAAATAAAAAAAAGTATAACTACATTTACAAGCCATTTCTAACAATATGATAAGTGGTAGTAATTTATAGTAAAGCTCTGGAGTAGAATAGGCCATTATAACGGCAATGCTGACCTGTGGCACAAGGATTTACAAGCTTTATTTGAAAAAGAAAAAAAGAAAGTAATTTCCACAGTGAGTGAGTGTAGTCTGACACTTCTGACTTCTTTAGGGGTCTTGATTCTACTGACTGCAAGATAAAGAAAGGATTCCAGTTGTCAGTGATTCTGGGGTGTCAGTAGTCAGTATAGTTTTAAGTGGTCGGCTGTGGGTCCCTCTCAGCTGTGCGGCGCCTTTTTCTGCCTTCATGGTCAGATGCTCCTTTCAGGTAACGCGTAACGTTAACCTGGACCGCCTCATCAGTGCATCCTGGGTTGCCGGGTCCTTCCGGATGGCTAATATAGAAAATACAGATCTGTCATTTAATTTGAATTGCATGAGGACAATAGGACATACACATCTACTTAAATCTAAAAAAAATATCCAACTTACTTTGAACAATGGTCTTCAGGAACATGTCTCTAAAACATGCTTTATCCCCTACACCAAGCTGAAAATCCAAAAAAGTGTTACAAAATACATTTCTCTGAAGCTTCTCATAAATAAATAAAAAATGTGTAAGGCTAAGGATTCAGACTGTAATATATGCAGTATACAATCTTAAATTTTACTTTATATCTAGGTCTACTACATGTACAGGTAGCCCCAGTGGGAATTAAACCGACAACCACAGGTGCTGTTTGCAAGTTGTACCTAATTGCTCAGTGCAAGCAAACGTCTTCAACATTGTTTGTTGAACTTGCTTCACCTGCTCTTGAAGTAAGATTTTACAATTCGTATTTTTATATGTAATATTGTAGTGTTTATTATAAATGATTTATCTGTGCACTTCATTATTCTTTTAAAATTCATGTAGCCTTATAATCTTTAATCAAATACGTTACCCTTCCCTCCCCCCTCGAAACGACTTCTCTTCCGGTCATGTGCTATGGCGCGAGGGCGTGGCAACTCCCCTCAAACCGTGCTATGAGCAGAGATGGAGAAGAGGAGCGCTAGAGTAAAACCCTGCCCTCCGTTCAATATACCGTTTCATTTTTAAATACGTCACAACACTGGAGAAAAGTCGTTTGTAACTTCCGGTTCATGCCGACTTCAAATAGAACCAATAGTTTCCAAGACAAAAAAACTTCACAAATAACATCACTTACTTGTACTCAAACTCTTGGCTCTGTGAAGTGGAGTCTGGATTACTGGGGAGAAACCTGGTTGCGAGAAAGAGGAAACAGAAATTTGAAAATCTAACAAATGGTATAGTTTAGTGGCAGGATCACAAATCCAGCATAACAGCAATAGATTTTACATACCAGTTCAGCATTTTCCTGGTTTTCTGGAATCGATGCATCTTTCTAGAGTTTTTTTTCTTGAGACTTCCAAGATTCTAGAGTAGGGAATAATGAATGAAAGAGTCAGTTATCCACAATAAACAGAAAATAAATTACACAGATGAAATACAGGAAAATCAAATACACAAGTCAGACCCATTTACCTGCTCCCTTCATGAACTTAAAATGATGTTTCTCCCAGGTGCTGTGTGGAGGTGTGCAGAGAATGGCTAAATTGTTGCCTTCGTCTTTTTGCTGAGGTTAAATGGGGGCCAATGGCACATGCTCTCGCTGAGCCACTCTTGCGGAACCACTGCAAATGGCAGATCCTCCTCGTTGATAAACTGAACAAGGTGAACCATCTAAAATAGAAGAACATTTTGCATAAAGTATACTTTTTGATTAATTTCCAGGCAAAATCAATAACATTAAAATGCTCACCCCTTCAAAAAACGAGTCATTTTCACAAGTGGATCAACAGAAAACCATGTTCAGACAAACACAATCATATACATATACACACATATATACATATATACACACACACACACACACACACACACATAGTTATTTTTGTAAGAAAACACCAAAAGTTAAACTTTCTAGATGTAAAGCTTTCTTTCTAGATGTAAAGCTTTGGCGATCTACTGTAGCTAGATACATTTCAACATGTCGAACATGCTTGAATTCAGTGAGTAAAAAAGGCGAAGCAGCATGTGTTAGCTAACACTGTAAGTTAAACTAGACTAGCAGCATGGTTGTCGAATCAAACAAAACATCATTATGTTTAGTTAGAAAACAACACAAGTTATACTGATCAGTCTTTCTTGTTGTAAAGATTTTGCTAACGTTACCATTCCCACGTGGGCGGGAGAATTGTCCTTCAGGATTTGGTTACGTAAGTTAGTTAATTATTCGACTGACCAATACTATCTTAAACCACATACTGTAGTACTCACACTTGCATAAACATACGTAAATATAGTTAAAAGAAGAAAAGAAAAAACTAACGCCAGGAAGAAACTAAGTAACGTTAGCCTAACTAACGTTAGCTATGTCAGAAACATGACGAAAACTTTGTAAACAAGGCTAACTTACTAGCTTGACTAGTAAGGCAAGAACATATTTGAAAAAGATGAACTAAAAATGTAAAAAATGAACATAATATTGCGTTACACAAAAAGGAAAAATGTACTTACTTTAAAGATCGTAGTCAATGACTATAGGATATCGTCTCCAAATACTGAAACCGTGTGACGAGTGGCCACTGTTGTGTTGGTAAATCTGCTTCCGTTTTTTAGGTACTGCCCCTCTCGGCCGGTGGAGGTACTTCTCTGTTTGTGCTTTAATACTTTCTTAAACATTTGTACAGATTGCAAAACTCGCAATTGCAAATTAATCCCTTACCTGTAAAAGGTAAAATAAATAAAAAAATCGAGCTTGTAAAAAAAATGAAAGACATAAACGAAATTTCCTGGGGTGACAGAAGGACAAAATATTTCTAAATATTTCACTTTATCTTTCAGGTCAAAACAGGGATTTTCATGTTTACTATAAATATTACCATGGTTGCAAATTAATAAAAAAAATCTAAAGCATACCCAAGCTTTTGGCCAAGTTGCAGATGTCTTTCACTGTTCACTGATTTCAGGCATTGGTGAAAAGTCTAACTTCATCCATTTATTCTGCTAAATTGTTCATACCATGAATGAAATATTTATTTTAAAACCTAATCAGAATCAGAAAGACATTTATTGCCAAGTAAGTTTTACAAAAGGAATTCTTTTTGGACTATTAATTTGTGCATCTCTATTGTGCATAAATCAAAGAAATGTAAAGAATTGTCACCTTAAGTGAATAAAATAATTCTATATATTTTACATAGGCCTATCACTGAATCGCTTCAGAGTTTCAACGTAATTTAAATGTATTTTCCTAAACCTTATCATGGAATCAGACTGAGTCAAATCTGTTATAAACCCTGACTTTGGAGCAACAACAATAACAAAATTTGATATAATTCACATAATAATTATAATCGCTTTAAATGTGAAAGTTAAAATGCTGTCAGTTCCACTCATGCCAATGACATGGCTGGTCGATTTCAATGCGGCTTGCCGCCAGCCGGCCGCGGTTCATTTAGACGGCGGCAACCGCCAGAGAGAATGAAGTCGGCGGCCCGGCGGCTGTTCGCCGGCGGCATCTCGCAAGAAATGGGAGTGACGTATTCGGCGGCAAACGTTTCATCTCCGCCAGCGGGGCGCACCTATAGCCGACAGTTTGGGGCCGGCGGCAAAAAGAAGCCGTGCCGATATTTTTTGCTATCTGGGACATCACTTGAGTCTTTTGCACACAATCAACTCTAAGGCTGCATTTACACTTGGCATTAACATGCGATCACCATGATCCGATCAAGGAGATCGGTTCATTAGCCAATCAGGACATGGGGCGTTTACATTTGTTCATATTAAGTAGCCTCTGTATCTGGATAACCGATCGGATTTCTGTTTCCTGCATAATATTTAAATTAGGTCTGTGGCACGACACCAGATTAAGAGTAAAGATGATACCAATTAAACAATGTACCAATTGCTTTCACTCACTCACTTTACTTTCCTGTGCAATCTCCAGTCTTAGATCAAATTACGTTTTTTGAACGAAGGAATACTTCCAGAGTTAATCATACAAAAACAACTGGGTTGATCATGTTAAACATGTCACATCATCGATCATCTGGGTTTAAGGTTATAGCGTGCAATGATATTGACAGAAATGGGAGATTGATAAACATGCTGAAACAATAAAAACATTCAACATTTAAAACATTAAAAGATTCCAATTATTCCTCTGGCAAATCAGCGTGCAGCTCTTCATTAAGATCTCATGACTGACTGTGATTGTACAAACAGGCGATCGCCTCGTTCAGATAATGTTGCACAATTAAAATGAAAAATGACACACAAAGTATCATGTAAGTCTAAATAAACTGTATTAAAGATTGACGTTTATTGTAAGGTTCAAATAAGTTTAATTTCTTGTCTAAACTGCGTCTGGCCATTATTTTCTGACAGCCACGTGGGGAGACTGGGCGGGGATTTATATGACGCATAGCTGCCAACTCTCACGCATTGGCCGTGAGACACCCGCATTTGATTGGTTTCACACGCTCACACGCCACACTCCCGATTTCTCACGCTGAAGTGTCAACCCGGGCGGTCAAATGCCTGGAAGATGAGTTTATCTATATATCTACCTGTTGAGCCACTCGTGATCGACTAGTTATACCGCAAATTCGTTAAAAATCTCCCGTTATCTAGAGCGAGCATGCATGCGAGACAGAGATTGTGCTCCAAACCGCGTAGAGCGAGCGAGAGACCTTGCGCGAGAGACCTTGCGCGAGCGAGACCCCCCCCCCCCCCCGTCAACAAATCTCACTCGTCTCTGAGACGTCCACCTGTGAATGCAGACACGATGGCTGGATTGCGTTTACATTACACTGAGATCCGATCACAATGCGTCCTCGACTACCTCCGAACCTGGACACGCTAATCGGATAACATTCCGATCAGAAGTGCGTTTACACTTGTCTTTTCAATGTGTATGTGGACAACATCCGGATACAGGTCGCATGTTAATGCCAAGTGTAAACGCAGCCTTGACTGACTCTGAGTTAAGCGCGTGCACCACAACTATAAAAAGCCATTATCAATGGAGCGCAGATATTATGAGTCACCATGGCAACAGCGCCAGACAAAAAGAGGTCTGCATATTTCTCACCAGCAGAACTGTTTTAGCTTCGGAGAAAATAGTTGCTCGAGTCAATGCTTAAGTTTACATTTTAATTACTGTTATACAGTGTTGGGTTTAATTAATTACCAAGTAATCTAAATACTCTAATTCAATTAAAGGGATAACTCTTAATTCTTCTGTAATTTAAATTAAAATCTGTAATTGCATTAAATACTGCATAGACTATAGAACAATTCTGTTTAAAACAATAGTGGATTTAACATACATTTTTAAAAGGTATATTTTTGATGTTACCTTCTCCCTCTACACACTTTGGTCAATTCAAGAATAATTCATGCAATTGTATATTGTTAATTTGAAAGCATTAAAAGTGCAGTTTCTTGTCTCTCCTTGTATTGTTCAAGTGGTTGAGGTTGATATGGGATTTAGTAATTAGTAATAAGTAGACCAATACATTCTAGAGATAGAAATTATTACATTAATCTAATTACACTGTTGAAGATGTCATTTCTAGTTAGTAATTAATAACTATTTTAGAGTAACTTACCCAACTGTGATCTCCATTACACAAGAGTAGATGTTAAACCTCATGCTGATTTGTACTCGGCTTTCACCAAGATAAGCACAAACTAAGACGTAGCTTTACAGTAACCTATGCTTCTCTCTCTCCATCTCTCCATCCATTTACGCTTCTTTCCATATGGTGATGTGAATCTCCTTCTGTCCGGCGTTAATGGCTGCAGTGTACTTGGTGCGTCAGTACACACAACGGCTGCAACTACAGTGTGGTCTCCCCAGTGGACCAGCACGACAACCGTCTGGATTGGGCCGAGTAGGGGACATCTCTAGGGTCTTCAAGTGGGCACCTTCCGTCCTCAGTGTTTCGTTGACTAGCCCACGACACCTCAAGAGGGCTCGACAGTGACTCTGGCGTCCCAGAGTCACCCCCCTCCGTCCCCCACTCAACTCAACCCAGCTTACTGACCTTTACATCCCTCCTGCTGCTGAGGTTGCTCCTTCCTCGTAGTTCACATGTGACCTAACCACAATCTCACAATCTCTCCGCAACCCAACCATACGCGCCAACCCGTTTGACTAAGGCTGTCGAGCCCCACTGTCTTCGTTAAAGTAGTTTCAGTGGCAACGGTTCCGTATGGCATACTACCTACCGCAAAACACAATATCTGCCCAAACACCAACCCTCATTCACCCAATATACACAGGAACGTAATAACTGTAATTACTATGCAAACTATACAAATAAACCAACAGACTCTTCGAGTTTTTCAAGAATTCTTCTAAACCGTAGCGTGGCGGCCTGTACCAAGCCAGACAGAATCTTTCCGTCTCAACCACAGCCAGTTGCTGCTCCTCTCTGGTGCTTCAGATAAGTTCTTTACTGTGCGACGCAACTCTTGCCCACTGAATCCGACGTCTCTGAGGAACCGGGTTGTAGAGTGTGCCACAAATCCTCG